ACTACTTGACTGACTAAATCGAACTTAATAAAGGGACGTAGTAGCTCAACTGGCTGCGATAAAATGGTTGGAATTTCAGTAATTAAACCACCAAGCCAAATTTACAAGTCAATCGTGAGGAGATAATATAATAAATGATCCATGAAGAAACCGATCTTATCAAATAATCAATTGATGATCTGATCATCCTAAAGACTGTGGCTAATTTTCATAATAACATATGGAGACACATTGTAATACAATAAGTAACAATCAGAAATTCCTTGGAAAAGAACAACAATATATGACTCACTAAGTAATAAACACAATACGGTTTTACAGTAAATATCTAGTGTCATATCCTAACAAACGAGAAAATTTGATTTCCTGATCATCAGCATGAATAAAATGTATTACTGAATGAAATTAAGTAGCTTAAAAGCTAACACTAACAGATCTAAACACACAAAGTAATCAAAGAGAATGTAGACTTAAGTGACTTTTTTATGTGAACTAGAATTCCGTATCTACATCATTTCAATAAATTAGCACTAACAAGAGATAGTGATGTTAAAACCAAAAATCTAGCCTTACAAACCAGTAGTAATAAGATGTTGACGTATGTTAATGAAACCAAGAAAACATGAAGTAGTTATTCAACAGCTCTAGAGAGATGAAGCAACAAGCGATAGAATCGACAAATGAGATTATATATTTATGGAAATCACGTTTCAACATGTCAAGAGGTTCTGGGCCAAAAGAAGCACCATCACAAGTAATGGATCACTGTTGGTACACTGGATAAGATTGAAGAAAGGAGGAACAAGAAGGCAGCAATCAATATCAGCCGAACAAGAGCGGAAAAAGCCAAGGCACAAGCTGACTACACAGAGGCAAACAAGCAAGTGAAGAGCAGCATCAGAACCGACAAACGTAAATATGTGGAAGATTTAGCAATGACAGCGGAAAAGGCTGCAAGAGAGGGAAACATGAAACAACTGTATGATACAACAAAGAAACTTGCTGGAAATTACCGTAAACCAGAAAGACCAGTGAAAAGCAAGGAAGGCAAAGTAATCACCGATATTGAAGAACAACGAAACAGGTGGGTAGAACACTTCAAAGAACTCTTGAATCGACCAGCTCCACTGAACCCACCCAACATCGAAGCAGCACCCACAGACCTCCCAATCGATATTGGCCCACCAACAATTGAAGAGATCAGCATGGCCATTAGACAGATCAAGAGCGGCAAAGCAGCGGAACCAGACAACATCCCGGCAGAGGCACTGAAAGTAAATGTAGCAGCAACTGCAAAGATACTCCACATTCTCTTCAGTAAGATTTGGGATGAAGAACAAGTACCAATAGATAGGAAAAAAAGACTTCTGATCAAAATACCAAAGAAAGGCGATCTCAGAAAGTGTGATAACTACAGGGGCATCACTCTTCTCTCAATACCAGGAAAAGTCTTCAACAAAGTATTGTTAAACAGGATGAAGGATTCCCTGGACGCCTAACTCCGAGATCAACAAGCTGGATTTCGTACGGTTCGACCGTGTACAGACCAAATCGCAACTCTACGTATCATTGTGGAACAATCAATCGAATGGAATTCATCACTCTACATCAACTTCATTGACTACGAGAAGGCATTTGATAGCGTGGACAGGACAACACTATGGAGGCTTCTTCAACACTACAGCGTGCCTGAGAACATAGTCAATATCATACGGAACTCCTATGATGGATTAAATTGCCAAATCGTCCACGGAGGACAACTCACCGACTCATTCGAGGTAAAGATCAGTGTCAGGCAAGGTTGCTTACTCTCACCCTTTCTCTTTCTCCTGGTGATCATGAAGACTCGATCATGAAGACGTCAACATCTGGAGGAAATCACGGGATACAGTGGACAGCTAGGATGCAGCTGCACGATCTGGACTTCGCAGATGATCTGGCTCTTCTATCACACACGCAACAATAAATGCAGGAGAAAACGACCAGTGTAGCAGCAGCCTCAGCAGCAGTAGGTCTCAATATAAACAAAGGGAAAAGCAAGACTCTCCGATACAATACAATATGCACCAATCAAATTACACTTGACGGAGAAGCTTTGGAGGATGTGGAAACCTTTACATATCTGGGCAGCATCATTGATGAACACGGTGGATCAGGTGCAGATGTGAGGGTGAGGATCGGCAAAGCAAGAGCAGTATATCTGCAACTGAAGAACATCTGGAACTCAAAACAATTGTCAACCAACACCAAAGTTAGAATTTTCAATACAACTGTCAAGACAGTTCTACTGTATGGGGCGGAGATGTGGAGAACTACGAAAGCCATTATCCAGAAGATACAAGTGTTTATCAACAGCTGTCTACGCAAGGTACTTCGGATCCGATGGCCAGACACTATCAGCAATAAGTTACTGTGGGAAAGAACAAACCAGATTCCAGCGGAGGAAGATATCAGAAATAAGCGCTGGAAGTGGATTGAGCACACCTTGAGGAAATCACTCAATTGCGTCACAAGACAAGCCCTCACATGGAATCCTGAAGGCCGAAGGAGAAGAGGAAGACCAAAGAACACATTACGCCGAGAAATAGAGACAGACATGAGAAGAATGAACAAAAGTGGGATGGAACTAGAAAGGAAGGCTCAGGGCAGAGTGAGTTGGAGAATGCTGGTCGGCGGCCTATTCTCCATTGGGAGTAACAGGCGAAAGTAAGTAAGCAAGTAATTTGCAGCAGAAAGTGAGAAACATTCTATGTATAAAATACCATTCCAAAGATGTGTATGAATCAAAATAACCCCATCCTTAATTGGTTGTTAACATTAGTAAAAGATGAAAGCATAAACAATTCAATAGGGCATCAGAGTACTTTCAGGAGGGAAAGACAATAAAACCAACAGCATAAGAAATTTCAGAAAGAGAAAAGCTAAATTTTAAATTATACAAATTACAAAAAGATGAGTTTAAAAGTTGTTTTGTAGATCAAGCATCCCCAACAATTTATGGCTACAATAAAACATTTCTTGTAACCACTGAGACGCTTTACCATTTCTTGCATCTGACTCGGTTAAATATGATGCAGCCGTATTTTTGGATCCTGAAGCTTTTGCACTCTATATAAATTCAAGTATTTATCAGCACCTGACCAAACTACTATATATAAAAATCATCTATGTTACTCACTGGTTATGCTACTCATATTCGTTTAAGTGTCCACCAACCAGCAGTAACCGCTAAAGTAAGTCGATTGTATATGTGTGACGTGAGTATGCACAGTTTGGTCTCTTCTGTTCCCCTTTCAGTCTAATCAACGATTATTAAATACATCCACATATCTGGAGAGGCACGGGATACAATGGACAGCACTGAATCGATTAGAAGAGATGGACCTCATAGATGACCTACCTCTCCTATTCCATACACACGAACAAATTCAGGTCAAGACAAACAGTGTAGCAGTAGTCTCTGAAGCAGTAGACCTCAACGTACACAAGCGAAGAAGCAAGTACCCCAAATACAACACACTTGATTGAAAAACTCTGGAAGAGATGGAAACATTCACGTACCTGGAAAGCATAATCGATGAACATGGAGGATCTGATGCAGATGTAAAGGCGAGGATCGGCGAAGTTAGGATAGCATTCCTACAGTTGAAGAACATATGGAACTCAAAACGACTGTCAACCAATATCAAAGTCACAATCCTCAATACGAACGTGCAAACAGTTCCACCGTAAGAATCTGAAACTTAATGAACTACCACATTCATAACCGGAAAGCTATAAGTATTTATAAACAATTGACTATTCAAGATAATCAAAGTGCGTTGGTGGGATACTATCATCAGCAGCTTACTGTGAGAGAGAACAAACCAGATTCCGACTGAAGAGGTAATTAGGAAAAGTTTGCAGGTGGATAGGAAATATATTTCGTAAATCACCTTGCCGCATCTTGAAGCAAGCCCTAACTTGGAATTCTGAAGTGAAAAGGTAAATAGTAAGACCAAGGAACATATTGCGTCGAAATCAGAAGCAGATATCGAAAGAATGGGTAGAAACCGGAAACTAGAAAAGAGTGCCCAGGTCAGAGTTAATTGGAGATTGATGGTGGGTGGCCTATGCTTCTCCACGACGGGTAACAGGCGTAAGTATGTAATATACAGAGAAAACAAAATGAAATGGACAACCGTAAAAACAAAAACCAAGATGGCTGGGTTGATTGAAAGCATTTTTCGCGAAAACCAGGCACACCTGGGACTAAAATAAGTCAAAATAATATAACAGTTGTTTTACAATAAGTTAAACACCGGATTCAAATCCAGTAGTCAACATTTTTCATTACAAGTTACACTATAATAAAGCAACGTATATTGAGATTTATTCATACCCCCTACTATTATATAACAGAGCTCATACCTGCAACATAACGAAATAAAGATCAACGTATCATTCAAAATACAAATAACTCAATTCAAAGTTGATCCATTAAATTTTAACAGTTCTACTTGGCAAGTTAAATTCCTCATTATTTTTTTATTCCGATCAGCTACATCTACTGTACTCTCTGTCTCTGTGATCTTGATAGAAAATGATGAAAATCACTGACTTATGGATTAAATATACTATAAAAATATATGCCCGAGTATCATAATTCTTTAATCCATGTGAGGCGTGGCTCCACGCCACGTACAAATCTTTAAACGAATTTAGGGAATAGTATGGTTATTGGACTGAATACCGTCCAGTCAAATATATCCAAACCATTAGTGAAATCGGGACTCATTCACAAACCAACGATTTATATAACTGTAAGTGGACATGACATAAATCCCTTTTTTGAATGAAGCATATTAATCAAGAGCTCTACTGAGACTCCGATCCTAAAGTAAAGTTTTAGCATTTGATCTTAATAAAAAGTCCTACAAAATGAAATCTGGAAATAAACATTTCTAGGAAATTTAAATTATCAAGTATTGTTAGTACACAAAAGAAAAAAGACAACGTACTTTACTAACTTCTTCGCATTGTAACGCCAAGGTGTACAAGGTTCTAGAAGGTGAACACAGTAGTTTCGTTTTACACCCTAGCATATTCAGCAAACAGCAAAACGTAAGAATCAATTAATCATTCTATACGTCAAGAGTATGTGAATATGTAAATTTCGCTATATTGGAAATTTATTAGATAAATACATCTTACATCCAAATGATGCTCACATTAAGATTCAAATAAAATATCTACCATTTAAAAACCCAGTACTATCCACTGGGCGCGTTGTGTTATGTTAATCATCCTTCATTAAATTGTCAATACAAGTAGTATTTTGATAAATGGTCAATTCTGTAGAAATGATATAATCAACATCAACTGTATCATGGGATACTTATAAAAATATTTAAATGTAACCCGTGGTTAGTCACTAGGGTATATCGGACTTATGTCCTACTCTATAGAGAACTTATAAGCTTGGAGGATTCCAATCCATATCACTAGGGTAAATTTGTAAAGTATGAAAAGTATATGAACAGAGGTACTCGCAACAAACATGATTAATTCAAGGACTTTAAAAGCTATCTTCAGAATTCAAATCTCTGAGTAATTGTCATAAGGTAAATAAATGTCATAACTCCCGATACCCACGCATATGGTCACTCTAAAGTAATATCACTAAATGACTATCTAAGAAAGTGGTATTTATCAGGTCACTGTATAAAACTGAAGTATACATTCAATGAGAGAAGTCACACTCCGGAAAGTGAAAAAAGTGTTTTGCGGCAATGAAATTTATCAAATAAATTGAAAGTACCAAATGATTGGACATCGGAAGTCAGTGTGGTATATGTACAACGATCTCAGAGGATAAGATGATTCCCTAGATTTCATAAGAGAATTTGAAAGTACTCAGTGACCGTTGGGTAAATTGGCGCCGAAAACAGAAACAGGGCCAAGTAGTGTGATTCATAGATGTCTATAAAATAACCGATTGATCTCATTTTTACAGCTTTGTTAATCCAGAAAGCTAACGATAGACTCAATTATTCAACAGAATATAACAGTTTTATTAATATAGAAATTGACCACTCAAACAAATTATGAGACAGTAAGTAATTAATAAATCTTGTTACAATAAGGTAGTAACATCTGATTGACTGTCATCGGTCAAAAATCTGAATAAAAACAATGGCATCACTTTTCTAACAGTTGAATACACAAGTCAATCTAAGCTAGACCACCATTGAAAAATTGGGAGCACTGGACGGCTGTTTCGTTTACAAGGGTGATTTAACTTGGATTGACTCGTAAATTCAACTGTCGAAATATTACAGTCTCCACAAATCCCCCTAATAATAATGACATTACTAACTAAAGTATTATTTGGTCACAAATCTCTACAAGTTTAAGAAAAAGACCATTATCTCATACATATCAAAAAGACTACAGTCCACTTTCATATTAATAAGAGGAAGAGCTACTATAATCATCTGAGCTCTACTTAATTAAATTCAATAAATCGATATTTGTCGCCTTGAACCATGTGAAAGTATTGAAATTTCATTGGTCAGTTTAGTTAGAGTGAAGCTTTTATTGGTTGAACAGGCTAAAATCTGTTACTGCTACTTCTTCCAGTTAAACTAAGGACTGACTAGGTTCAGTATTTCATATGGATACGGTACACCAGAAAGTGTAAATGAATATACATGTTCAGTGTGTTTGAAATACTTATTTTTCTCAGGTCTATCGGTCAGTAAAATGTCCAATGAAGGTCAATAAAAAGAAAATAAATTTGAACAAATTGAATAATGGAGATACATATAGCAGTGCAAACAAAAGACAACATTAACTTTTCATTAGTAATGGAAAAAATTGAATAGATATCTGTCGAAAAACAGTACAAAAGTAAATATTCATAATCAATGACTAAGGTTAAACAACAAATTGTAAATTATATTTAATCATATCCAAACCCCGTTCAAAAGCAAATGGAATAACAATATATAAGAAAGGATTTCTCAAGTAATGTAATAATGTTACGTTCAACCTCAAAAAGATAGTTATTTCAGTAATGTTTATCAAACCTGAGGTGTTCAGATACGCCTCTCGTTAAAAAGGATCTTCCGTAGATTGTTGTTAGAAGATACATAAAGAGAAGACTGAAAAATATGAATGTAGTTAAAAATAAGATCTGTTCATAAAGAGCTCAATATATGAACCAAAAAAGTCTCGGGTCGCACAGTCAGTTATGACACACGTATAGGTATGCACAAATGTGCATTGACGCAAGCTGCAAACTGACAAGTCTTGCTACCGACATATTAAAACTGTCTTTCTAGCTGGTTCTGATGTCCTCAACTACTTTTATACGTCACCTAGGACATTAGAGAGGAGGCGCGAATCGCAAGTAAATGCTTTACTTTAAGTTTAATTTATGTAAAGAAAGACGAGGGTATTTCTAAGATTACACACGACCTTAGGCTTCCGGAAATTCCTGGAATCATGCTAAATATAATAGCAGCACAGGTGACTAACCATTCAAAACCATAGCACGTGATTCTGCATTTAACTCTGATTGCATGAAACGTTTCGTAGCGTTTCTGGGCCTTTAGGGACTATGACGAGGGATATATTTAGGACTTCTCCAACACAAACCACATAAGCGAATGAATAGCGAGGAATAAAGAGTCCTGATAAACACAAGAACTGATTACTGAAACGATAGTCTAGTTGGTAACCATCCGATAACTTCTGGATCGCAGTTGGTAACTGCAGCAACACAAAAACAAACTATTTTAGTTCAGTCTGTTACACGATTCAACCATTTCTCTCCTTACATGGTTACGAACAAGAAATGACGTTAAGTAGGATTGCTCAATCTAATTATTTCAACTGAATGATGTTTTAGAGGCAACTCAAAAGAAAGTGTATGCTGGTGGTGTAGAGAATCTGTAAGATGTAGTCTTACTGTGTAAGGGAATCCAGATTACCTTTTTCACTTTTATGTAATGCTCTCAAATATGTGGACTTTGTATGGCTGGAGTTAGGCGTAGTTTTATGAGACTGGTGGGGGTGTATACCCATTCTTTATAATAAACTGTTTAAAATCATGTAGCAGTTTGTGCTACTGATTGGTCATGTAACCGCTGGTGATATTGTGGTAGAAGTGATCTCTCTAGGTATGTAGGAAGCCAGAATAGAATGCACCAACTAGTCTTACCTTGGTGTAAGCATGAAGTTGGTTATCTCGTAAAGAGTCTGGTTGACAACACATCGTTATGTCAAATTCTGATTTACACATAGAATACCTGATCACTCCAAAATAAATTAAAGCATGAACAAAGTCACAATAAAGCATATTCAGGCTTAATCTAGATAGGACCACTAGATAAATACCTAATATTGAAAGTGAAACGATGAAGATGTCTTATATGATGTCGTAAAGTTGCTCAATTGAATACTATATAAGATAAAAACTAAAGAAAACTGAAAGTTGACATCTAGGTGTTACGTTGTATCTTACTTAGAGATAATTAAGTCTGGAACGAAGTTTCACCCTTTTTATTCTCGCTTACAAATTGCTTTTGTTGCATAAGAGACTGTTCCATAGCCAGAAGTTAAAATATGATACAATCATTCTGTTTAGATGTTAATAACAATAATATCGATAAAATACAACAAGGAAGTAAGCTAAAAGAGAAAATACTGAATCAGATGGTACCATAGGTCAAAGTCGTAATATTCATTTCAGAGATACTGGGGACTTTCTAACTCATAAAAACTCCAATTTACTAACGAAGGAAACTGGATAGGTCAATGCTTTCTTGAAGAGTACACAAATATTGATACTTCCTAAATATAATCATGGGAATATGCACCATGCAAAATTATATACATTACTCATAACTGAATATATCCTCAAAGACTGTCTATCGCCTACACAAAGATGGTCAACGAACTAATTAGCACGCTAAATTAGTCCAATTTACATGTTATTTTTAGAATAACAGAGATAATCAACAATTCTTACTGCTTGAAACATATACACAACTTTGCAGAAAGTGAGACCCACTTCATCGTAGAATACACAGTTATCAATTTAAAGTTATTTTGAAATATTTACAAAACCACAAATTATGCTCTATGGTATGTCAAGATACCGCCTTATTACACAATCGAATTTCGGCAATCATCTCTGACAATGGTAATGAAACAAATGAAGCTATATTTCGTTCAGAAATCACTAGAGTAGAGTTTTTCACGAGTGTACATACATATGCAACACATGAAACTTTGATTCATTCAGTTTTCTGAACTCGACTTTCTTGGAACAACCGTAGCCTTCGCATTTACAAAGGGATGTTTTACAGATAAGAACCGTCGAAATAGTATTGATTCGGCAAGAGTTTCCATCATGAACAGATACCAACAAATGAGATATTGAAAAACATACATGGTGTGAAAACCTTCTGCTCTTATCGTTAAAACACCTTCAAACTGTAAGATCAGGTAGTATCACTAGGCCTCGCATGAACAATGTGATTCAAAGTCAGGAACATAAGATCTTTACTAAGTTAATGAATCACATTATTTTATCTTTATTATTTCGTCCTTATCAAGGACATCTCTCCAGCACTGATAACAATACACGAGATCGGATTTAAATAAGAACACATCTCAAACAAGCACGACAACAATCAACCATTGTGGAGTTCATCAGTTTAAATTCTACAAATCCAGTAGCTTTATGATAATAATTATCTGATCTCGTCAGTGAATATCTGTCTCACATTAAACTTGATTGCTTCTGAAAACCTCAACTCTCAGCCTAATTTCCACGATCTTCACAATGAAGAGGTCAAAGGTGAGTACTGGATTTCCCTTTTCCTATCTAATTAGTTTGTAAATGCTTTTTCAGACATCGTTTCCAACGCTTCCACAGATGATGCCAGCTTACAATGAAGATTATCTTTAGTTTCAACGAAATATTCAATGAAAAGGCTTGCGTACTATGTAAGCGTCATTTTTAGTATCACGAATATCTAGAGAAATCATTGGATTATAAAAGGTTGGGCGGGTGTGTACATGATGATTGTCTTTGTTACGAAAACGTTGCATACATGCTTCTACTCAGATTTCCTAATCTATTTAATTCAAAAAGCAATCACTCGATTCTCGTGACACGATAAGTCTTAGATGATTTTATAGACAAAAAGTCAGGATACCGAGAAAACCCACCTCTAGATTTATTCTCAACATTTTATAAATCGCACCAGGAAACCAATAATTATTTCTTTAAAAAACCTATCTTAATAGAGAAAATTAGTTATTTGCATCAATTTATTTTGTGCCAAACTTCCAGAGGGTTTTTCATTATTGTCTTTGTATTCGGATCTAATACATAACACGCATAATCATAGTAATAATACTTTATATTATAATCTGAAGCTTTACGCTCATAATATTTACAATATTCCATAATAAGTTTGAGCTGAAAATTTAGTTAAAGAACCGAATACATCAACCAAGATCTATAACTTCTACAAAATGCTGTAATTCGAACATCAATATTATCAACAGAGTCTTATGAGGTGGAGAACACTTTCTTAATGATGTCAAGACTGATTCAGTACTACTAACATAATTCTATGTTGTTTTGTTTTCTGTTTACTGCAAAACCTTATTTTAGTAACTAACGTGACGGATTGAATAAAGTATACAAGTGAAAACATTCATTGATGGACATCAGGGAGTGTGGTTATCCGACATGTAGCCAAAGCATGCACATCCACCCATTAAAATCTACTCACATTAGAGTACGGACAGACGGTAAAATCAATAAACGCGTACAACTCAATGATTGTGATCTATCTAACCTAAAAAATAATTTGAGAAGGATTGACATATTACAAAATGCTACTAACACAATTTAAGCCCTTCTCAAATAGTACAGAAAAACTAGAACAGACTTCAATCTAAATCGATCAGAGCACAATCAATCAGAACGAACCAATCAGTGATTAGTTTTGAAATCAACCAATCACAATATAGACTGCCAATTACTTGTTTTTGGAAAATGAAATTCAGACCAGGCATATGATTAGACTGATATGGACCTTTTAGTAATGATGATTACTCATTACTCAGGGTTAATGCGTGCTAGCAGAAGATACTCTGCGAACACAGCCAAGCATACACATATGAATGTTATGAAATAGAATATTTTCTATTAGTAATTACTAAAATGTTTATGATTACGAAAAGGCTTCGTTGAAACTACGTTTCTGGTTAGTTTTATTAAAATCTATTCACCGAAAGAAAAAAACAGAAAATACAATTTAGAATAGAGAATAATCGAGTCTTTTGAGACATACAATTTTATGTGTTTTCTCAAACTTTAAAGAATACAGAGCTAGAGATATTGATGCCGCTTTGTAACAATATTTACAATTACCAGTACAAGTCTTACAGTAAATGTGGGCTCAGGTAACTAATAAGAACCTCAACAATTTCATTGATGCAAAAATCGCAAAACTATTAGGATGATAACATATGTTGTAATTCTTATGGCTAGATTACTTACTTCGCGAATGAACGGATCCATTTCTAGTCGTGTCAGATTGCAGTTATCCACGATGATCACCGACACTCCATTACATATAGACGACCAAACTGTGTAGAATAATACAAATAAAATACTTCTGATTCCATAACATGTTGTAGAGCATTTGGAGAAGTTATTCAAGTAGAAAACAATAATAATTTTACGTATGTAAGACTGAACATGTTTCTGAGTGTTTTACATCAAAAATGTTGTTCGAACAACGACTGAGAGGACAGTAGTGGTTCCGTCCTAACAAGAGACCTCTCAACCAATAAAGTTTGAGATAACCATATCCTGTAGTTGAATGGATAAGTTCATACTGTTTATTTACCTACGACAAATTAGTGGGATGATCAGCCTACGCTACTTATTTCCATCACTCAGTAATAGAAACTTCTCAATGAATTACTTCATATGCTGCAGAGAGAAATATAACTTAAGACATTTTAGATTGTAACGTATCATTTGTCAAATATACGAATATAATGTGGTAGATCATAACACAATCATCAGATTTTCATCATTCAAGAATATTTATTATGCACTAAACAAATTAAAGAATGATGAATATTCACTTTTGTAACAAAATCGATAGATCATCATTTCGACATTTAGAACTAAACATACTACCTGGAAATTCATTTGATCGATAAATTGGTCATCGAATACTTCAATCTTCAATTTCCTTCATAACATTTAATGATGAAGTGAAACTCGAAGATCTTGTTGAATAACGAAACAACTTCAGAATGAATTACCATCTTGTTTAAAAAAAATGTTCATGAAATTCTATTGGAAATTAAATAATTCCTATATATGCCCTTAACCGGCTTAACACAAATGTGATAAACACAACTAAGCAAAGTCGAACAAACAATATAGAGAGTAGATTTATCAAACAGAAAATTTATTAATTTTTACTGAAATGAAGTACAACTTCTAAATAGGCTACAATAATGCTTTTTGGAAATAAAACAACACAAAGGAGCCTGATGAAAGTATTTACAATTATGCACGATATTAAATATAAATATAAATGATAATAATCTTGATTTATCTGGGAAATAAAAATGAGAACAGACCCTGACTATTAATGTAATGAACGAGGATACAGGTGTGGAAAACCAATGTACTTTGATACAAAGTTACAGAATATCTTGTTGAAATGTGAGAACCATACACTGTATACTTCATTTGCGAATTTCCGTCACTTGTAAGTCACGCTCTGCATGATTCTTCCACTTCACAATTCTCTTCAACTCGATCTTCTTAGCCTTCTGCTACCAGCCATTCAACTTTTGAGTAGTGTTACATATTACTCATGTTTGTCGACATGATTAATATACACAACACTAATACTATTTTATATTACCTGGATAACGTGGAAGCAATGGACGACCGTTTCGTCCTAGTATGGGAGTCTTCATCAGTGTGCATCCACGATCCCGCATGCAGGACTCAAACCAAGGACCCTCTGTCTCGTACGCGAACGCTTAACCGCTAGACCACTGAGCGAAACCGAAGGTCTTGGATTCGAATTCCGCGTGTGGGGTTGTGAATGCGCACTGCTGAGAAGTCTCATACAAGGATGGAAGGGCCATCCAATGCTTCTAGGTTTTCACTGGTAGTCTAACATTGATCGATTCATGATCTCAATCAAAACTCAACAACCTCCACAAACCTATACTGATAATTACCTGAATAAGTTAATTACTTTGGTGTGAAATTGGAAGGTAAAACACCTATATATTGATATAACGAATAAAACTACTTCAACAACAAACATATTCAGTCGGTCGTATTGAATGGTTTTCTGAATTGTACAGTTTAATTATGCAGCTTTCATTCTCATTTTAGACAAACTGGTATTTTGGAAAAGGCGTTGATGTATTTTTCTTTAGATTTGACAATGAAACCTAGTCAAGTGAACCCACCCAGGTCAAGAGGGAATCCACACACACGCACACATACACCAATAAAAATAGTCCACTTAAGCTAGAAACATGAAACCATTTTTTCAATCTTTTTATGATTCCACTGAAAAATAAACATAAACAAGATTAAATAGTGAAATGATTAAAACACTATTTCCGCCCAGTCGTTTAGATGTATACAAATATATTTAACATCCTATGTTGTAAGTTTGTTTTCTTGTCTTCTAATTTGTTAGGACGGTTCCAAATTATCTACTTTTGGTCAATAAATGCTAATTTCTTTCCTGTAATGATAAATAAAGAAACATTTTTTTTCGAAATTATATTTTCGTACAACCTCTGGTGTTTTCTTATTGGTGATTATCAATTGTTTTTTTAATTTTACTGTGTCCTGAAGTCGTGCGTTGTTGCTATATTTACAGAATTATCCTACTTCAGATTTGCGTTCATTGAATATCAAGTATTTTATTCATTACTCTCTTCAATATTTGATTCCATCAGTTGGAGCATCACGTACATAATTTACCACAATCGATCCCTTGTATTAGAAGGATCTCAATCATTTATAATTAGAAATTATCATGGGCCCAACCGAATAAATCTTAAGCCACAACATTATTGTATTATAATGATAACAAAATGTACTGAGCTCTTTCCATTATTCCTGCGTTCTAATAATCTTTTATCATTCGATCTGTGCCTGATTCTAACCGACACTTGATAGGGATATTGGCAACCCGAAAGTCATTAGTATTACTGATGTAACCAGATTCATGATTCATTAATTCAATAATATCGTAGTCTTGTTAAATTGGAATACAGAAGTTGAGTCAATAAAAGTGACCAAACAGGATAAGCTAAAGCAAAAATCTACCGAATTACTAACTACTAAATAGAATCCAAGGAAAACATTATTTTCAGTCTACTTATAATTTCCTTGTCAGTTTTCTCTCTTTCTCTCTCGCGGAATTATTGAATATGGCAACGTGAACTTCGTGCACAATTTTATTCGAGGTCTAGCAATATTTTGTTTTCTAGTAAACGGGTAGAGTAAATGTAATAATAATGGCTAGTCCAAAGTTTGTACTCGCCACAGACTAATCTGGGTTAGAGTACCATTGAATACCAGAAAGCGCTGGATACCTGACTCACCGTAGCTTTAGACTCCTCAGTAGTGTGCACTCATGATACCACCACGGATCGAACACGGGACCTCCAGGTCTTGCGGAGTCCCGTAATACTAGGACGTGGCCAGTGAAGTTCAACTCTGTTGGGTGCGTTAGTTACTGACCGAAGACAATGGGAGATAATCGCGAAATATCGCAGATTGATTGAATTTAGACATTAACACCGTTGAATACCGGGTCAATGGTCTAGAGGTTAATCGCTCGCGCGAGGTCAAATGTTCTGGGTTCGAACACCGTGTGTAGGGTCGTGGATACGCACCACTGAGGAGTCTGATACTGGGACAAAACAGATGTCCAGTACTTCCTGGTTCTTAATGTTGCTCAAAATAAAATCAATCTGTGACGAATATGGCCTACAAATTAAACTAATCTCCACAAAACCCGTTCAAACAGGATATGGTTTAAACTAAGCGAGAGTAGTAAACAAGCCCGGTGCCATTACTACTATTAATACTAATAGCTTATCTACAAGATTATACAATATGTGACTAGAAAATAAATGGTGAACTTGACAAGTCACAAAATGACAAGGTTGTTTCAGATATTCAATACCTCAAGTCGACATCACACATCTAACCAGGCCGATCATACGCTCGCTGAAAATTATTTCAAGTCCAAGCTATACACATGTATGTCTGTATTTTAATGACCAATCAAACCGCTGTCTATATTTTTTCTATTTTACATCATTTATTGGTATTTCGACACCCCTACCCCCGTCATGTCCTCAGTATTGATTACGCTAGTAATTTAAGCATTACGTAGTTCCAAATGCGACTACATGAAATACAATGTCATGACCTGAAATATAAAGCATCCCGTCTTCACATTCAATTATTTAACCAGTAGTGAATAAAAATTCATACCTATCAGACAAACTTACACAACAACAGTAAATATAAATTGAATGACATGAGTGGTTATTTTAACAACGAAACAAGTAGTAGGTAGTTACATATGAGAAACTAAGCCGAAAGCGAATCCTAGATTGAATGGTAGCCATAACTGAACTTGTACCGATTGTTAACCAAACTGTTATTTTATCTTTAATCACGAAAATCTGGGTCATAAGAACAGATCAACTGACTTCTCTAAAGATCACTATGATTACTAAAGGAATAAGCTTTATGTAAATTTCGTAGAATTAGTTACACAAATACTGTAAGAGAGATGCCGTTTATCTTCTCAGATCAAAATACGTAAAATATCCAGTCACGATTGAAACATAGATGTAAATAGTTAAAAAAATCCAATAAATACTTCGAACTCTTTCATATAATGAACCACACACAACAGGGGACAATAAGTCACAAACACACGCACATACACATACAAAGTGATCATTACCTTTTTGCTTACAAGCAGCAATTGCTTCATTCAATTCGGTATTATTATATTTGTAAATCTGCTCAACTTCATCATAAAAATAATCATCGTTTGAAGCTATTACAACATTACGCTGATCAAGTTTATCAACGAGAAATCTGAAATTTTAAAAAAGAATTTGATAATAATTCATAAATGGAGTCAAAGTACAACTACATTTTGCAGAGTATTAATAATGTAGACTATCATTGATGCGGTTACCACTTCAACTACTGTGGTATTTGTCGTGATAATTCCATATCACCAATGTACTGAGATGATCTGTCAATCTGGACCGATGAAAATATATGTCAGATTCTACGTTAATTACGGCTGACTAGTTGCATACTGTCATAGGCAGTATAATTGTATAAGAAGAGAATATAGACCAAAAAACCATATACTCGACCTTATGAAAAATTCAAGAAGCATTTCTGATATCAAATAGGAAATTACGTCAATGTCTACAAAAGCAATGTAGAAATTATAAGCCTACATTATAAACTCATTTATATTTTATCAGAAGGAGGTTTTGTGGAGATTCTAGTATTTTAGTAATTTTATGTAGTTGAGATCATGAGTTAATTGAAGCTAGACCACCATGGAAAACCTGGAAGCACTAGACAGCCGTTTCGTCCTATCTATATTTCTTTATTGATAGATGCATAGAATATTTTCAATGAAGTAATATTTAATGAAATTATTGAAATGAACACACGTGTGTTTGATCGATAGAAGGTATGCAATTTATACGATGTGGTCAATTGATGCCTGTTGAAAGAACTAAAATATTGAGGTAAGCTACTGAATGGTTTAACATTAAAGACAAGACTACGAGCCTAAAAAATGATCCTTATTTATCATAAAATAACATGTTTATCAATGATAACATCATTTTGAAAGTCCACCGCTCTTCAGTGAATTCAGTCTTTACTGTTAGGCTTAATTCTAGTTCGCTAAGTCAGGAGGAAATTTTAAAAAAACCAAGATCAGGGAAGCAGTCTCTTTCCAGCGGATTTATTATCAAGTTGTACAATCGTATATATATATATATAACTTCTGTGCAGTAAACCCGTCCTTTGTTGATAGACGGATATCTCGCCTACGCCATAAATGAAGCAAGTTAATGAAAGCTAGTCGAGCCTTCAGTATCCGTGCTGAAATTTCGTCTCACACACGTGGTTAAACACATTAAGGTTTTTAACTATGACATATAATTTAATGTTTGACTCCAATCTTTCTATGAAGGTTGTCATTAAGAACAAGGAAACATTTGACTACTATTTCATCCAAGTATGAGATTCATCTTCAACAGTATAGATCCACAACTTTCAGTTTTTATAATGAGGACGTTGAATTTTACAATAATGAGTTAGTATCTATTCATTCCAATTTTCAACTTTACTCAGTTTACTGCTGTGTAGTTCGATTAACATTACCTACTCATAGGTTTAGTGAAAATCATTCTTAATTGAAATTATGAGTCGATCAATGTTGGACCAACATTGAGAAATTGGAAGTCCTAAACGGCCGCTTCGTCCTAGTAGGAAGCTTCTCAGCAGTGCGCATCCACGATCCTTTATGCAGGATTCAAACTCAGTTTCATGCGCAGACGCTTAACCTCTAAATCACTGAGCCTGTGTTAATGTCTAACTCCGACCAATCGAAGAAAAGGCCATCCAGTGCTTCCAGGATTTCAATAGTGGTCTAATACTGATCGGTTCATGATCTCAATCAAAAACTCAACAATCTCCACAACTCCATGATGAAAATCATTCTATTCAATAAAAGTTTACACAGACACCATTTCTTATTGTTAAAAACATCAGATTCACCAATCCATCCATTCTACTTGGTGCAATTGGTCGCTCGGTAACCATTTAAATAAAAGATTACGTTTTATTTAATATAATACACATTAAAAGACTTATCTGTTGCTAAACTATAACCAAACAAATGGGTTGCCAGGAAAGGTAGATTAGAATAGCCTCTAACTTATAAATCTATAATAGTAGAAGCAGTATATAGACAAGTACGAAACGGAAAATATTGTTTATTCTTCGTAATCTCCGTTAGACGCTTGAATGCTGATGTTTTTTTTGATAAAAACAAGATAAAAGAGAGTAAATAACGAACTTTTCAGAGAAAAACAAACTAGTTTTTAAAGCTGAAGAGTTTAAATAAAAAAATAGTTGATAACTGTGGTGGATTCCTCACTTTTTCACATATAAGATAGAAATTGAAATAATGTGTAAGAAAAAATGCGGAGAGTAGTTACAAATGACAGTAACACAAACGAGAACTAAGTAGCGCCAAGACCCGAAAATTCTACCTGACCACATGCTAATTTGGAATGATGGTTGAATTTCGTCAATTCGACATATCTTCAGTAGTAATTTAAGACATTAATGATAGCCACAAAGTCACTAATTACAAAAACTAAAGTAGGTAAGTAAAACAAATCAATTACTTTGTAAGCGTGGAATTGTATTAAGCACAGTAAACAACCAGCTGTTACATGGTTGGAGGCAGTCACCAGACATTAAATATAGACACTTGTCGGTATGGCATATTTGCGATCTCAGGGAGAATCTCCAAATAACTCTAAACTGAACCCCTCAGTGCCACAATCAAGGACGTTACCACTAAGCTATTCTCGCATCACCCTTATTCAAAAATTCCTCCTGACTCTCCTTTAAATTAAAATTCAAACGCAGTGCATATATCGAGTCACTTAGATTCGTGAGAACATTTGAATTTGATTAACAGAATTCAGCCAGAGCTAAAGATTAGACAAATACAGTATCGTTTACCATTCAGTGATCAACCAGTGTAAATAACCAAGTACACTCAGTGCAAACTGAAAATATCAATAACGAATAATGAGTTATCGAATAGCACCAATGAAGATTTCGCTAGAAGACTGCTAGCTGTTATCAATTACTGTTCCTTAAAATCTGTACACATTTTCAAGGTTTAAGCGCTATAGCAAAAATGTTACTTTAAAACAATATCACTATCAAATGGAGTTTTTTTTATAGAAAAAGACGGATAGGTAGGTTATTTATTTAAATTGTATTAGGAGACTGAAGTATAAGATTATTTCCGAAATGTCTCTGGCAATGACCGCATCATAGAGAATCATGTGCATAATATGAAAGGCCAAATACTTCACAGATATGTCAATACAGTGGTAATATAAATATTTTTAAGATAACTAATATGTGACGGTTTTATGCATATGAAAACCAACAGTTATAAAGCCTTTCCGAAACACCTAAAATTAGCTTGAATAACAAGTTGAGCAAACAAAATTATCGTATTCGTGATATATATGCGGGTATCTTGTTTGAAAGTTAGAAAATCACGTTGTCCAGTTTAGTTTGTCAGTAGCATGCAATAAATAAGATTCTTATACCAAATCACTGAGTTAACCCCTTGCAAGAATAACGTTTCGGCAGGATTTATCTACAAACAGCATAATGTTGAGTTGTATAACTAGATCTGTAATTATATAAACTGATGATCCAATAGTTAAGATAAAAAATAGTGTAGCGATTCTTTATCCCATTCAAAAGTAGAATATGTCTGTTGAAAGAATCAATTAAAATCTATTGTAATATATATTGGGCTTTAAGAGAATAAGTTGACAAATACCTATAGAAACTAGCTTAACAACGAACATCCGCCCCCCCCCTTAATTCATCGTATTATGAAGACTTAAAAAAAATCTTCATCATAACGAAGAAAATCAAACGACAGACAAGATCACCACATCCAAAAAACATATTTCGACTGTCATCCTTTGCATCAGATGATTAATCACTATATATAGGGCATATCAGGCTGATTAACACAGGCGGATGAGAAATTTTCGCTATGATTGGGTGTCAATGCAAACGATAACCTTGAAGAAACCAATAGAAAGCAAAATTGGAAAAGTTCTACAGACTAACGACCAGGAATATCAAGATCATAAGTGGGAAATTAGTGATATGAAATTCACATGATGTAGCTTTGGAATCGCGCAGTGTCTTTGTATCACAAATGATTATTAACTGGCACTGAAAATTGTCCTGAGAAATGTATATTGCTACTTGTCTGGCTAAATCACTGATAGATGAAATAATTATGTACCTACGTCTAAGCTCGTGAACTAGGCGGCTATGAATTGTTAAACTAACTTAAACAATAGGTACAATGAAGCTAGAACTATGGGTCTTATAGCTGGGACTTTATGTGCATACACTAATGAACTAATAAAAAAGTACTTGAGCATTTGTAATAGTAATATTGAATATGAACCAGAATAAAGTTAGGAAACAAAAATCTTTCAAACTTCAATTTTTATTGCACCAGATTAGTTCTCTCCGTCTGAGGCTTTTGAGTACACTATGAAAAGTCCGTTGGTTGAATTTATAGATAATAAATATCAGAAAGAAATACTAGCGTAATAGAAAGTACCTTCCTAGTGTAGATTTTCCACTGCCTGGTAGACCACGTAACAAAACTAGAAATCTTGTATCCCATTCAGAGTTATGAGCTTCATATATTACGTTCTTAAGTCTCACTATTTCTGGAGAATGAGGGAATAGATTTTTCTGGACTCCTGGTTTTTGAGGGACGATACACCTAGGTGCACAGAATTCCGAGACCATTTTGATAAAGGTGTAACTAAAATTATGAAAAAATAGAAAATAGACGAAACGAACATATTAGTAAGGAAACTAGCTAAAATAAGGATCAAATTATTTATCAAAATAAGGTATAAAATGTTTTTCAATCAACAGAATAATAACTCCAAAATCTTACAAATAACTACTTAATAGCAAAGCATTGAATGAAGAGGATAGATTGACACGAGTGGATATTTTTTCAAATCATATTTATTTCAGTAAAAAGAGTGCAATTAACCAGAGAAAAAATATTGGTGAGGAACCAAAGGAAAAAGTGACATTAGACTGGAACTTATCCAACAATACAATATCTAAGATCGAAACGAAAAACAGTGGATGTGTTTGGTTTAATTCATCCGGCTTTCAGCAGTATGAAAAAAAAAGTCGTCCGACCACTTATTATAATTGTTTCGCAGACAGAATAGGGAGCAGGCACTTACTTGCACAATTCATATTAGCGAAAAATAATTTTATGAATTGATTATGGGACGCGATATGAGAGTTTATAGATTTTTTACCGCATTACTATGCCACCGAATGAACGTTAAAGTGATAGCTTGATAAACATAACATATAGCCTAATTATGCTTGACCATGTTTCATAAAGATTCCTACTAAGCATTAATCATCTTCATAATAATGAGATTATCTATTCAGAAAAAAAAACATCACTGTTGCTTTTACTTCAATTGTTCATAAGCAATGTATGACCTAGAACGATGTATATCCCTCAGATTATAAATCAGCACAATGAGAGAGAAAATTAAAAAAGGAAAAGCAAAATAGTGAAAAATATCAATACTAGATAGTTCCAAAACAACAAATAAAATAAGAATACGAAGTGAATGGAATGACACTCAGTTTAACATTTAGAGGAAGGAAAAGTAGAGATATATTTCCACCACTACGGTTTTCATTAAGTTGTATCATTGATAAAGAGGCAGTTTTGAAAAATGTTCAAACTTTCTTCTGTATAAATACAACCCATTAGAAACTAGTGCAACACAAAGTTTGTAATCTTTATCTAAATCTACTTGTTTGACTTTTACTCAAGAACTGATAGAAATGTGTTAACTATGACAATGTAAAACAGTTGGAATGCGAGAGCACCATTTCACCGTATTCTAGTCGAATAGTGAAGTGTTACTAGAAAACTGAACGTCTGTTTATCGTACAGTCGGTCAGTCATCTGCAACATAGAACGTGGCACATACGCATCATTTCAAGTGATCACAGAGAAACAAAAGTATCAAGATAAATCTCAGAGTAGTAGAAGTAGTAACAGCATCAGTACTAGTAGAAAAGATTAGGTATCCTAAAACAAAAACAGGTTTAAGATCTCTGAACTCAGGTTGTAAGGGAAGACGAAAACTGAATGGACCTGCTAACGGTTCCAAGCCACATCGCCCGAAGTCTCTAACACTTGGTTACGACAACCAATCAATTGGATGATAATTTACGAATGAGGCTAATAAAGTGCTAAATATCTGACAAATAAAAATTTTTGATTTGATATTCTGAGTAGTTAACTTGTTAAGAACTACAAATGCTAATCAAGTAAAACTCTGAAGGTAATCGAATATGAGCATTAACTGAATTTGCACGGTATACAACATAAGATAACACTCATAAATCTTGAAATTATGTCTATTTCTCAGCAAAAGATTAAGAGGAAAGCAATATGATGCATAGGTAGATATATAGGTTATATAATTTGCAACTTAATTAACACATCTCTTTCTTTTCTGAAATTCGAATACTCTACAAAGCAAGCGTACAAACCACTGCCTTGTATATAGTTCTCATTATTTGAAGTAAAATTAAACAAAACAGACGCTTCTTGTAGCTAACGTATAGATTGGCTTCATATTGTTCACTGAATAGTAAACGCTTCAAAATCATCTGACAATGTGGGTCAAGCAGAACGGATCTGATATCTTTCCAAATGATCGTATATTGAAATATTTTATTAGTTTTAATTAGGTACATACTTTTTAATATGAAATGTTGACAAACGAAAAGCTAAACTCCAAGATCTATATTGATTTAGTCAGTAGTTTAGTTGGTGGACTGAATACGATACCTGAAGTTGACGAACAGAAATATTTCTTTTACATTTTAAATATTAAACAGTAACTTTGCAAATGAATGTTTGATTTAGTATTGTGGATGATTTCTTGTGTGGATAGCGTGCTCCTGTCAACGTACTCAGAATACATCTTTATCTTCACTTTTTTTACTTCAAATAGTCTACCGGATGATGTATCAGAAGTATTTAGACTCACAAATTCCAATGGACTAATTGAAATATAACAGTGGAAGAATTAGATACACTAGACAAGCCAACTAAATATACTACAAACTAAAACGACTGGAAAAATTCGGACTATTTAAAATTTTCAATACCTCATGGTACTTCGTGTCAAAATCCCTGATCCTACGCTACGGAGAGAAGTGTAAACTACGCAGTTTAGGCATGGAAACAAATAGACGGAAACACAAAACCATATATAAATGTATTGTTTCAATTTTCTATGTATTTCTAATCTCACGGAAGAGAGCAAATACAGGAAAAAGTAGCTAGGAAAATCTACAACGGAAACTTGAAAATACAGGAAAATCTATGGTGGATGCAATTGCACTGTTGTTGTAATCTAGTGTCTCAAACAACCAGTACATGGAATTTTTGGAGAGACATTGTTAGTCCTGGCCGCAACCACAACTGAATAAACTAATGAAATGTTCACGAGTAGTCACCATCCTGTTCCAGTCTTTTTAGAGAAACCTAGTTGTCTAATCCCAGTGTGGTTACCACACACGCGAATAGTAAACATTCAGTTGTCACAAAGTAGGGGAAATAAATGAAGAGCTCAGTAGGAACTCAAAACTGAACATTTCTATTTCCTGTAGTGTAAATCATGAAGTGATCTTAGCTAGACCACCATTGAAAACCCGGAGGAACTACCGGACGGGCGTTCCATTTTAGTATCGGACTCCTAAGCAGCAGTAGATCTAACGTACGGCTTGAGATATTGGCTAGGATTTGTCCCACTAACAGAGTTACGTCCATTTTTCGTAATCCTCTAAATCCTGATTTTATTTTAATTTAAGCCTTTCTTCGATCTCATTTGCTGTTCGAACCATGTTTTACGTCTAGCTTTTCATTGAAGCTGGTAATGATAATGTAACTTATAGGCAATACTGAGTACTCGTGGTAAGTTGGAGTATTTTTGCCAAGAACTTAACAATCAACAGAAGTTGATTAGCCGTCAAGTTCTCTCCGAGACAAAACACATCAGAGTGAAATAAATGTAACCATTATGAAAAGGAGACTGATTTATGTCTAATCTAGAAAGATATGACAGATGCTAAGAAAGAAGTGACTTGTTAGCCTTAATCGTATCATACTGCTTGGTAAATTTCAGTTAACAAGATAAGTAGTGGTCTGGGGTATTTTATTAACAATCACCCAATACCCTTAGAAACATGTTGAGGTATTACTTCTTCGAGAAAAAAATAATCAAGGATCAGTAGGTTCCCTCTAGAAAGGATAAGGATACTAAATTACTTTTAATGATGGATTCGTAGAAGATATGGCCTATGCTTTTTAGACCATTTAATTAGCTTGAAGGTCAGAAAACATACACCAGTGAAGTACACAACAAGGCAAACCAATAGAGCATAAATTTGCTTCCCCGTAACATGTGTTGAGACAAAACTGGTCTCAGTAATAATTAAAGTATATGTCAATGCAGGTTACAGACTTTCATCATAGTTGAACTCGTTGACCTGAATGTCTACCCACTTTCTAAAGTACATTTTCATTGGTTTAAAACTCAGAAGATAATAGTGTGACAGACAGTCAAAAAGCATAATTTGGCAAAGAGAACGCATGTATGTGAAAAAGATTGAATACCGGGCTGGCATGTCTAGTTGGTATTTTGGGCCTATAGTTTCAGAAGAGAGGATCTATGGCACTGGTATTGATTTATTTCAGGCATACATGTCATAAGTGACCTCAAATATTACCCAACAAGCTTTTTTTTACATGAAGCAAATTTGCGAACCTGCAGTACACTTTTCGGGTAGTATGAGCATTTAAACAGCTGACTGAATCAGTAATATGCAGAACACTTGGTTGATGAACAAAATCAGGTATTCAATACAGACACAAGACAATATGGAACACTTACCTATATTTTGTGTCTACTTTCAGATTTGATTCCGGTATATGCCATCAAAATAGGGGAATGAATGTATTCAGACATCTTCCTACATCTATTTTGGAGCTAGAAATAATGATGAGCATGAAAGGTGTTCCGTGGAAGTCTGATAAGTGACGCTACTTGAAGATCGATATTCATTAAGTTTAATAGTTCAGTGAACTCAAACTTTATTTCCATTAAACTACCAAACTGCATTTCATTTCGCTAAATTGGTAATATATATTTAGGGGTCGTTAGGTGTGTAATTTTACCAGGTAAAACAACTCAGTGTTAGTGACTAAAGATCTTATGTGTCCCCTGAACACGATGTATCAAATCTGAATTTGTGAGTAATCCTCAATCGGCCGTACCAGTTTACAGTCAGTTACAATACACCATCATCATACGCTTCGTTTAACCATAATAAAGAGAGAAATCTCGCTACCTGATCCCATTGTGAAATTAACTTGTCAGACTACCAAATCTAAACGCCTAGATACTCGAAATAAACTTAAAATATCCGATCACAACTTATCCTTCTCAGCATTTTAGTTTAGTGAATGCAGACACGGAATAAAGCCAGCCGCCGATATGTAACGTCTTATAAAACAACACCAATCCAAAAGGCGAGTTCCATCTATGCTATCGCATTCCTTAGTTCTCAAGACTCAGAATTGAAGTTATCACTCGGAGTTCTATACAAAATTTAGTAAAAAAAGCCTACCAAAATAACACACGATTTCAGTCCAGAAAATAAATACAGTTAGTATCTGTAACACAGGACTATCGCGTTTGACTAATACTTTTCCCATCTGAAGCTGTAACATCTAATGTGGTATTTTACATAAAAAAGTGGTGTTCGATATCCGAGTTAATAATGAACCTCTCATTATATCTTAATAAATAAAGGGAACAGAATTAAGCAGTACAAAACATTGGAATCAATAGAATCTCATATTCTATATTACGATTAAACTTATAGCATTTCTTTAGGCTAATTTGTTCACATTATGCGAGACAATGCAAACGGATTTTCACCAATCAGTCAACTTCTCATCCCTCTGAAACTGTTTCTTGATCGGTTGATTGGTATTCATTCGTGACTGTTGAATTAAGGTATATAAAAAGTCAAATGAGACTATATGGTGTCGGTACACTTGTATTGTGAAAAACGTTTCCTGATTAATTCATGCACATTTATCCTATTTTTTGGAACAGAAATAAGTCCCGAATCGAGTAGCTGGTTAGACGAATAAAAATTGATTCTTATGGATTTTAGGAATACGAAAACTATGATAGATCGGTAAACATAAGTCAAACCCTAATAATTCAGAGAATTTGCTGACGTTTGCCCGTAGAGCTTAGTTATTACATGTCACTATAAGCATACTCCAGAAATTCTACCACAAATCATCCTCCACAGTATCCTACCACATCAGTGGATAAAAGACAGGTTAGAAGTAGCCACCAATGAGTATCATTTTAGCTAGATAGCGCCAAAAAAACACCAATTCCCTGCTATATATTAAGTATTGAACAAAATAACCATTACTATCCAATGTTTTATAGATGTCATCAATATCAAACAGTGACACTGTCGACTGGTTTAAAATCCTATCTGAATTCGCTGTACAAAACTTTTGTTTTCCACTCAGTTTGTACCATTAAAATAGGTTCCAGTGAAGAAATTTCCCGAAAGCCCCTGTCGATATGATCCATTCGCCAAATAGTTTGCCATCTTTATACAGTCTCTGTCTGATTTCATAATTACACGCGTATAATCGAATACCAATAGTTTACGAATAATTTCTATTTTTAAAGGCCGTGTTTTATAACTGAGTAAAAGAGATTGTATAGGCGTTGAAGCGGACCAGTTCGTTCTAAAGTCACATTGAATATTTAGAGGGGGAGGAAGGCATCTGAAAATTGCTTACATTTTCACTAAACGAGAAGAGAATACTCAGTATATTGTCAGAATCCTTATCAAACAGAACTATGTTATCTGCATATTCTAAGTTAACAATTGATTTCCATAATAAGGAATCGATTCCTGAAAAGTCAGACGACGAGTGGATTATCTCTAAAAGAAAGTCCACAACAAGGTTAAATAAAAGTGGGCAACCCAAATGAACACCACTTGACATTGAATTAGTCTTATGATACTGAAAATATTACAACTATCTTCCCAATTTGCACAATACATCAGTAATAATTAGAATTATTCTATAGAACAGTCCAACAGAAAACAGAGACTTTACATGTCAACAAAACTACGATATAATAATACATGACCCAGGATTAAATGAACCAACACGATCAAGCAACATCATACCCTTAAAAATACATAAATCACAAGCAAAAAATAAAGCATGTTCATCAGAAAAACTCTTTATTCTAAGCGTTTTTCGTTCTTCACATTGTTTGAGTTCTATTTGAAAAAAGAAAATACTTATACATGCATACATAAATATAAACCTTAAAAAACGTCAAGAACAGAGATGATAGATAATGATCAACACGAAAGATATTGTCCGTCAGTGTGTTTACTTTTATTTGTTTAGAATTCTATAGGTGAAAGAATCGAGTACATTACAGTAAAAAAAGTAGTAATAATAAGTTTCATTAGAAAACGAACTTAAACAAAGCAAGGCATATTATATGATACAATATAAACAAGGATATATATATATATATAACCTTGAAAATTCTGTTCTATTATGTGAAATAGGAGCGGAAAACATATCTAGGAACACCGGTGATTCTCATTTTGTCGATAAACAACCAAAGTGATCCTTATGAAGAAAATAGAAGCTCGACTAAACAATAAAGTTCCAAGATAGATAAACGGGCGCTCAAGGTGAAAAAATCATACGATAGGTATTGTACAGACAAAAAGAAGTCAATGTAAAAAAATAAGCAGTATGTGCGAGAAAACATTAAAAGTCAAACAGCATGAAACAGAGAACATCGATGTTAGTAGTAAGTACTATAAGTAAGAAGATAGAAGAGACACTTGGTAACCGCTGATGAAGATGGAATGACTAGGAAAAAATCAGCTGAGATATGTGTGTGTCAATAAGGACGTACTGTTGATTATTAAAAAAAAATCAAATCAAAAGATAAACTCAGGATTGAATTCACAACAAAAGACGCACAATAGTACGTATTTGTTAAACTGCTAATGAATAATATGTATTAGTATATTTGATCATCAGTAGTGGACTGATCGACAAAAATTACAAAGATATTGTGCCTACTGTTAGTGCACACTATATAAGTTTATATACACAGAACAAGTTAATGACAAAGAAACGTTTATGTTTTAAAAACAATTAATCATAACCATGTGGACAGGTTAGTCTGATTCTTCCTCCTTTTCAATAATGAATAAAAAGGTTCAGTCCATACTTTTCAAAAACCAGGCAATAATGATCACGTAAATAAACAGTCTCCTTTTATTGGTGTTAAAGAATGAAAGACAGTATATACGATGGCACGCATACGGGCACACACACATAAACTTGCAAAAAAAACGACCCAATTGAAAAGGAGGGGCCACTTGAGAGAATAAAAAATAATCTAGAAATAATGACAAATAAAGAATATGGCTATTCATAGTAGTTAAGAAAAAAACATGAGCAATCATAACGAACTGTTGATAAATAACCTATATATTATCAATTAACAATCAATACGTGGATAGAATGAAATTTTTTTTGAACTCTTCATTCAGTAAAATACTATTATCCTCGCTTTGCTGAAAAATATATAGGAATACAATAAAATGGTTACCATTCAGAAAATCAAACAACAACTACGATTCTGAAGAGTATAACAATTATATTACAAAAATAATTTTCTTTTTAAAAGAGATAAATTAGAATAATATACATTGGTGTGAAAAGGAAAAGGAGAGAGTCTAATGGATTGGACAATGAACAAGTGTACATATGGTAAGAAATAAGTGAAGTTAACTATTTCTTCTTTCAAAGATGTAAAATGTACACAACAGCAGAATACATGAAAAATCAAAGGAAAAAATTATGACATAAATATTATCATCATTACTGTTAAGTAATTTATAACAATAATACAATGGACAGTGTAATAAATAACTAACGATAGTAGTTAACACAACAGCAGGATTATACACACTTAACATCACCAACATGAATCTATAAAAGAAAACCTTAATTATTGGTAGAAAATTGAAATCCTCTTGGTAAACAACAAGAGTGTAAAATAAATTAGATGTGTAGAATCAAGATAAATACACACAAAACTCAAATGTGGCATTCTCTCAAGTAAAGAAACATCAATGAATGGAATGATATTAATTGAACACATACAGACACAATTACGTGCAATACTAAAATGATAGTAATTGTACAGGAGAGTAAACATAATTATTCAATGGTTAAAATATTACATGGGCATATAATGCCTTCAAGAAAAAAATTGGTTAACATGTATACAAAAGAAATTAATCAGTAGTGTAGGCTGTACGAATTTTAATACACAACTTCACACCAGAATAAACAAACAAATAACAGAATATATATATATATATATATATATATAAAGGGGGGAATAGGCACTTGTTTATTGTTATCAATAAAGGTGACGTTAAGTTGAAGAGGATAGCAGAGAGAACAGTGAAT